CGACCAAGACTGGGCGCAGGCGGGCGACAGTGCAGCTAAGGCCAGTGAGATGCTCACCCACACAGGCTGCTGTGAGGAGAGCACACGGCCAGGCGCTCATTAACTTACAGGCAGTCAGGGAACCAGAAGAAAAATACAAGGAAATAGCTACAGAAAAATATTTGAAAATACAGAAAAATCTGGAAATAGCTACAGACATGGGCAGTGCTGGCCTGCAAGGCGAATGGATCACTCCGGAAGCGGCAGGGAAGGAGTCGAGGCAGAGCCTGTGGCAGTCCACACTTGGGGGACACATCAAAAAAGAATTCAGAAAGGAAATCTGATAACAAAGAGCCACAGAAGCCGAAACAACAATCTCCACGAGTGTTTTCTGAATCAAAATGGTCAGGGCAACTAGGAGATAAACTGATGAGGCAACTGGGTCTGAAAACCCAGGGCTCTAAGTTCTCACCAGCAGTGTCAGAGGAAGGCGAAATGCAGACGGTTAAGGAGCGATGGCATGTGAGGAGAAGTCTAGAACTTTCGTTCAAATGGCATCACTTGGTCTACAGAAACCTCTAACCTTCTTCCACCCAGTTCCTGTCTCTATATTCCTTTTGCTGAAGGTCTGAAGAGAACAGTTCCTAAACTACAGCTGACACACCAGACTCATGAAGCAGGCTATTTCGCCAAGAGCCTATAAGAGCAAGTTCTAGAGTAGGTTCTTTACTTTGGAATGAAATGCAAAATAAGCACCCTAATAGGCAATCGCTTAAATTCTATGTAGTTAATTTCAAACAAATGATAACTCAAGCGCATCTGAAAGTATGCAACAAATAAAAATGTATACTTACAACTAAATCATCTGTTACTTTAATACACAAACTCCCATCAGAATGCCTATATTTGAGAACCACACGTGCCTGAAATAAAAATACACATTTAGAAAGTGAGGTCAGAAGACATTTCTTATAAATAATTTAGTCTTCAGGTGGGCTAAAAGGGATTCTTTAGAACAGCCAAAACATCAAAAAAGAACCTTAACTATAAACTTATTGTTATTGCAATGAGGTAGAAAACAGCATTTAAGGTCATTTCTGTGTTGCTATAATTGCCCTTGCAATTATGGCCTGTACCCCAGTTCTTACATGCACACATAGACAAATCTTTATAAAAAATACGTAATTGCTTTTTAAAAAGAATTAAAAAAAATTTATTTATGCATCCAGAACTGGGGTACAGGCCAGAGATGCAGGGGTGGTGAAAGGCTTCATTAGAGACAGAGCGGGGAGCAGAGCAGGCAGATCAACGATTTACACTGCTGAGGGGAGCAGTGGGGAGACAGGAGAGGTCTGCTGCGCCATGGGGGTCAGCTACGGGGCCGGCCAGCCAGCTTGCGGTGCTGCGTCCTAACCCTTTGGGCCACCAGGGAGGGCCCTAAAAAGAATTTTCTTTAAAGGTCGGATTATTTTATTTGCTGTCAGTATGAAGAGACAGATCAAAAATTCCTAGAATGCATCTATAGACTTTTGAAGTGGTTTGGCATGTTTTACCAGAAACATATACTGAAGGGGATCACAGTACATCACCCCAAAACATAGCATTTTTGTAAAGATCATTCTGAGTGCAGGCAGCTATCTCTCTGCCCTTTCTAGGCTAAAGACAGGACATAATGAACTTCTGTAGAGGAGACAAATTTCCAGATGAGGGACCCCCACCCCGCCTTACCAGGAAGAGAGGTATCCTCTCCTTAACAAACTATGCTCGACAACTCTTACTCACCACACATTCCCACAACTTCAGCTCCCCCAGAAGCCCTGAGCTTCATTCAGCATCTTCTGATGCCGTATCACCCCGTTAGGGTGCCGAGGTCCCAGCTACTGACTGCTTCCCGGGCCACATTTCTTTGTGACTCCCCAAACACACTATCTGTAACCAGAGTGGGCTTTTCCCCTCCTGCTGACCTGCTTTTGTCAGTTTACTTTGCAGGACCCCAGCTAGTAAACTTAAGAGGATAAAAGAGAAAAGTTTTTCCTTCCCCACAACTGCAGCACGTTTTGTCACAAAGGAATGATAAGAAAAGGGAAAACAGCGGAAAAGGCTAGATAAGTCTACAATTCCTCAGGAAACGTCAACAGCATTGTGTCAAATGCTGTATTTTCCGCTTTCCCATGACTCTCAAGCAGTGGAAGCAAAATATTCAGCAAAGCAAAATCGCGTCTTTACTGCAATGGCGCAACATGATGTATTTGGAAGCTCCCACTGACAGCCTCTCCCCAAGCTAGAATAACTCCTGTGTCTTACAGTGCCATGTCATAGGCCACCTGGTTCTATCTGTTGAGCTCTTAAATTCAGATTTGTGTATTAAGAAAAAACCCTAGCACTCCAGAAACAGAAAGAAAGTAAAATTTAAAACTATACCAAGTACAACAACTTTGTAAAGTTTTAACTCTGCTAAAAGAATACTCACTAGATCACTCGGAGAGGTCACGCGCTACCAGAGCTAACGTTTCTAACGTAAGGGACACCCTGATGACCATGTCAGATCCACAACAAGAGAAAAGTCAACGTTCTTGCTCTCTTAGGAACTTTTTTTAGACAAGATTTATTTATTTATGCTTACAGAACTGGGGTACAGGCCAGAGGAGCAGGGGGGTGTGAGGACTCACTGCAGACAGAGGGGCGAATAGGCAGATGGACTGAAACACACTGCTGAGGGGAGGTGCGGGGACTCAGGAGGGGTCTGCTGTGCCACACGGGTCAGCTGCCAGGCTGGGGACTGTATTCAGCCCTCGAGGGGCCTTCGTGGGCAGCACTGAGACTCACCTCCTGGGCCACCAGGGAGGCCCTTTGGAACTTTTAACTCAACCAAGCAAAACAAACACACGGCAACGTGAGCAGTCTCCTGAAGGTGTGACAGACAGAACAGTGGGAGCGCACAGGTGGTTACGCTGAGGGCGGGCGTGAAGGGCTGTGTGGAGGCGGCTTTGAATTGCGTTGCTTTCCTCTGAGGAAAGTAAGAGAAAGGCTGAGGAAGCAGTCGGAGGAATCAAACTGAAGTCTGACGGCTTCTGTAGCTTCAGCCACTGGAGCTCTAGATGTGGAAATGGTGGGCGATGCCACCAGAGACTAGCGAGGGTCAGACGGAGCTGGAGGCTGGACTTGACCCAGCAACAGATGACAAACCAGGTTCTAAGCAGGAAACTTGACAACTAAACTCGTGTGCTGCGCAGACAGTGTGGCTGAGGGCAAAGGAAGGATTAAAAGGCAAGCGGGTGACCTGGGCGGCCACACGTGGGCCAGCAGGGACACCGGCTTCAGTCACCGGAAGTAAGAGAACGACGCTAGATGGCAGGTGTCACCAACTGGCCAGGTGTGGTGGAGAGAAAGGCAGAATCTCCAAACGGATCCCCACGAGGTGTGGCCACCTCCTTTCTGACCCTGGCAGTACCCGCCGAGGGAAAGGCACGGGCCTGGAGCTAAGAATATCTGCCCCAACTGCCTCATCTCTGGCATGTTGTTCACAGGAGTGAATCTTTTTCTCGTTTTCTCTACGACCAGCACCATATTCTTACAATACTACTGTTGTAGAAGATTTACTTTATTTATGCCAACAAGAGCCGGGGTGCAGGCCAGAAGTGTGCGAGAGAGGATTCAGCAGACAGAGCGGGGAGCGTAACAGGCAGATGGGCCGAAACACACTGAGGGGGCAGCGGGGCCAGGAGCGACCAGCCGCCCCCGGGGTCCCTCCCTTATGTGGGTTTGAGCCCGTGCTGCAGTGGCCGGTGACAGCTTCACAGTGCTGCGACTAAGTCCTTGTGCCACCAAGGAGGCTCCCATGTGAATCTGTATATTCTTTACTACCTTTTCAGGTACTTTTAGTTTACTTCATGGGTAAATTTGGACAAAAATCCTGTACTGTTCATAGGACATACTGCTTGAATGAAGAAGCAAACGCGCCTTGGACGAGGGGAGTCAAACGGACAAGCCAGAAATCAAGTGCCATACAGCAAGTACTTGATTTCAAACGTAATTAACCTCATCATTTATTGTCGCATCGTTTTATTGTAAAGAATGCAACTAAGAATGTTTTACCATTTCTTGTTACTTACCTAAAAGTCTAAAGCAGGATAGTTAGGCCCTCCCTGGTGGCGAGGGGTTAAAGCACAGCACTAGGAAGCTGCCTGCAGCCCCTGCAGCAGTGGACAGTTCAAGCCCTGGCCAGGGAGTGACCCTCAGGGCGGGGCAGACCTCTCCTGCCGCGCCTCCCCCCCCCCAGCAGTGTGCTTCAATCCATCTGTCTGTTCTGCTCCCCACTGTCTCTGGTGCAACATGTCACAGCCCGCACCTCTGGCTGCACCCCAGTTCTTATAAGCATAAATAAATAAATCTTTAAAAACAGCAGGATATTTAACTAACAAGGTGTTGGATCAAATGATTTTTATATGTGATGGTAAAACAGAGAGAGTAAGAAAGACCAAAATCTGAATGCTAAATCACCACCCCCTTGGAACTCTTTGCTTTTTAAATAATGAGCTGACTTTTGGTACCCACCTACGTTTTTGTGGGGGCCATGAATGGATTTCAGGGGAGCATGACCCCCTAAAATTGTGTGCAAATTGTGTGCTTTTCTGAGGCAGAACGCCAGCCTCCCCATATTTTCAAAGGCACTGGTCTCCAAAGAATCAGAAACCACCATTGTAAGGGGTGTAGACACCCCCAAATCGGGCCTTTCAAGAATGTCCCCAGGGGTTGCAGAAAAGCTGCTCTAAGTCAAGAACCCTGAAGCCCTGCAGTGAGACCACGAAGGGAAAGCAGGCCGAAGACAGGGCGGAGCCGGGGCTAGAGACAGACACGTAGCCCAGAGGGAAGCCGAGGGAAGGAAGCTCCGGGGCGGGGGGCGGGGTCGGCTTTACAGCCGGGCGCGGACCCCACCTCGGCCGCTGCCTGGGTCAAGGCCTCTCCGGCCCTCGATCGGGCATGACCCCAGCACCACGCCAAGGACGACCCGACCTGGCGGGGTTGCTCTCTGCCCGCCTCGCGGCACCTTTTGGGGCGCTGGCGAGCCCCTGGGGGCCGAGCGACCACAGGGAGGCGCCTGACTGCGCGCGGGGGCCCAGCGGTCCCGCCAGAAACTTACCTTCATGGGCTCGGCGAGGTAGAGTTTCTCGGCCGCGCGACTGAACTCCTCCCAGGTCTGGTACTGCGGCATCGTGGGTCTGCGGCAGAAGGCGAGGCCGGGACCCGAGGCAGCAACCCGCCGCCTACCGACCTCCCGCGGGCGACCACCCACCGACTCAGCGGGCGCAGCGGCTCGAAGATGGTGGCGCCACCTCACACCAACACCCCACCCCATTGGACGAGCCGGATAGCTCTCGCCCAATGGGAGGAAGGGATGCTGCGAGGGGGCGGAGCCAGAAGTGTGAACCGCTGAGTCGGTCCAGAGAAGTCGAGCGCAGGCAGACGGCGGGGGCTACAGCGCCCCCTGTAGGAATGGGAGGAGCTGGGGTCGGGCGTTCGCTTCCGTCGCCCTTGAGGCGGGACTGCAAGGGGGGGATACCCAGCGACCTCCACCCAGCGCTGGAGAGTGAGGACCGAGGCTGTGGGGTCTAGCTGCCACACCCGCATGGCGCAACCGCAAAATGAACGATAGGAGCCCCCCCGATGGCGGACGTGTTTAAACACCGCATTATGAAGCTCGCCAAAGCCACTGCTGCACGAGTTCGATCCCCGGCCAGGGAGTGACCCACAGGGCACAGCAGACCTCTCCCGACCCGCCTGCTGCTCCCCTCAGCAGAGTGCTTTAGCAGTTGTGCTCCCCTCTCTTTCTCTGCAGTCCTTGCACCTCTGGCCTGTTCCCCAGTTCTGTATGCATAAATAAATAAATCTTTAAAAAATAATAATAAACGTCAGGCATCAATGTCGGGACAGTGGGACCCAAGGGAAGGACGACCCCTGGGGGTCGCGGAGAACGTGGCCGTAGGGCCCAGCTGGGCCTCCATTGCCGTGGAGGATGTTTACCAGCTGGGCAGGGAGGGCAGGTTTCCAGGCTGGGTCCAGAGCTCCAGGGCCTGTCACCTGTAGGGGGTCGGGGAGGAGGAGAGGAGGGGAGAGAGCAGCAGGGGACGAAGCCAGATTGTCACATCTTCCGGGATGAGAAACCTGCACTTCGTTCTCCAGGCAGTGGGGTTACACAGGAGGGTATCCTTCTTTAGTCAAGCTTACTGAGGAGCATTTTACATACGTTAAAACACACTGGTCATAAACATATGGGTTGGTGAAGTTTGACGAATACATACGTGTGTATATGAATATATATATGTGCATATATGTTTATCTCCCCCCTGCTTTTTTACATTCCGTTCCCTTACCCATACCCCCAGTCTCCTGGGCTTTCTGCCCCTGTAATTAGTTACTTCTGTCCATGCAAGGGCTTTAAGTAAATTTGCATTTTACAGGGCTCCTGCTGCGTCTAAGACTGAACTGATGTGGTGGTCTAGAGGGAGACTTTTCACGACGCCTGGCAGCAATAGAAGCATGGCTCTAAATTAAGACACTAGCTTAGAGATGAAGCAGGATGCTTATTTGAGAGTTGCTTGGGGAGTGGTGTGGGGTATGAAAGAGAGGAAAGAACAGAATGACTCCCAGTGGACAGGCGGTAGCATTGACTGAGACAGGATTGGGGGAGATTGTGGAAGACGATGAATTTTGTTCTGGACTTGATGGTTTTGAAGTGTCTTTGGGATGTCCAGGTGGAACTTTCTGGTAACTTAGCTGGGTATCTCTGTCGGAAACACAGAAGTGGTATGGAAGAGGGGGCATGAGCAGTCGGGTCTTTGCTGTCTCCTAGGGAGAAGGCATAGCATAAGAAGGCCAAAGACAAACCCTGCTGTCTCCTAGGGAGAAGGCATAGCATAAGAAGGCCAAAGACAAACCCTGCGAGGCAGCCACTTGTGTAGGAAGCCAGAGAGAGGGAGGCCGAGAAGGAGTTATCAGAGCTAAAAGGGGACTAACAGTTGGTGAGCAGTGAGGGGGGAGGGCTCTGAGGAGGGAGCAGTCGATCAGGTGGTGGACAGGATGCAGGTGGTCAGGTGGTGGACAGGATGCAGGTGCAAAGCCTGAAATGAGTTAATTGTACTTGTTGGGAAGTCATTGGTGACCTTGGCCAGAGGAGCTTCGGTGGGGCTGGGTTTGGGTAGAATGGACTGGAAGAGGCTGGAGAGCTTTCAAAGTGAAGACAACTGTTCTAGACTCACTGTCATAAGAGCACAGCCATGAAGAGGAGGAGAGAGATGACTCGAAGTACTGGTAGAGAAAGGGTGTTGTTTTTTAAGAAGGGAAGACTTTATGAGGGGATCATGAGGGATAGGGAGACTAAAACATAAGAAAAAGAGGAAATCAAAGTCTCAGGGGAGAGGTGAAGGTAAGGACCAAAGGCATGAAAACAGAAGGGTCATCATGCCTCTGGGTGACTGGGAAGATACAGGGGTAAGTGAGCAGATAAAAGGGCCAAAAGCAAGTTTATTTTTTTAGCCTTGTAGTAATTTCCTTATATATATGTATATGTGTATATGTATATCCCCACCATCAGGTCACCCCTGTGCTCTTCCCTTCCCCGTTTTGATCCCTCTTCCTCCCTCCCCTGCAGAATGTCCCTGATTTATAGTTGTCTGTTTATTTTTGTTTTGTTGTGTTATGTTTTTTATTGTTATTATTTCCCCCAATCCCTCATTTGCTTCCCCCATATTCCCCCTATAAGTGAAACTAGCTGATATTTTTCTTTTTCCTCCTGACTTATTTCATTGAGCATATTTCCCTCTAGCTCCATCCACGTTGCTGCAAATGGTATGAGTTCATCTTTTTGATGGCTGAATAGTATTCCATCTCATCTATAAACCACATCTTTTTGACCCAGTCATCTATTTTGGGCATTGTTTCCAAGTGTTATCTATTATAAAAAGTGCTACAGTAAACATAAGTGTGTAAGTATCCTTTTGAATGAATAATTTTCATTTTTAGAACTGTAACTGGTGATATAGCAACTGGCTAGCTGGAGCACAGCAAGTTTGTCAGGCAAATAAAAGTCTTGCTCTCGGCCGCCATTCACGGCCTTGGGGCTGTTTTCATGGCCTTCCATTGGGTCCCATGCCCACCACACTTTGCCTTCTGTCTGCCCAATCACTGAAGCTGCTTTCCCAGTACCTGGCGCTCTTGTGGGTCACTACTGACCTTCATGTGCCCAACTCAGAGGGCAAGTCTCCACCTTCCTCAGAAGTTGCTACTCTTGTGCTCCCTGGCCACCTTCACCTTCCCAGACCCTTAGCTCTTTAAACCCCATTCTCCTCCCTCTTCAACTGGCCCTCACCCTGCCAGGGCTCTGCCTAGCTGCCTCAGCCTCCTGTTCCTTCAGCGCGGGCCACAGTGCCAACCAAGCTTTCATTTCTCCCTCTCTTGTTCTTCCTGAGGATGCCCTGTGGGCTTTCACTCCTGCCTTCAGGGGAGCTTCTCCTGGACTCTGCTCAGCCCAGACACCTTCCCTGAGCTTCAGATTCACGTGTGCCTATGCCTGCTGGGGGCCTGCCCAGCCATGGGCTAACTCGAGTTGAACTGTGGGATGAAAACAAATTCTTGACAAATGGAAGCAATTTATAAGCCATAACTGTGGTTCCTTTTTCAAACCTTATTTTACTGCTGCCATTGTGAGGAGCAAAGTAGCTTCAAGCTAATGAAGCCAGGGCAGAGACAGAGTGCAAATTCACAAATACCTATAGCTGCGGATGGGAAATGGGCCACGAAAGGGCGAGAGGCTGTCATCCAACAGATTCGGCAGTTCTGAAAGGACTTCCCTCCCCTCCCTTTTTCTCAGAGGAGGAAGGCTTTACCTTGTTTTCTAAGGTAGAAATGGCATTGTTTTTGAATTCTGCTGGAAGCTTTCGGGCCTTCTTTGTTCTCTTCAGTTGTCCTCAGTTGTCCTTCAGTTGTCATAGCGTTCCAGACTAGGAACAGGTGTAGACTCCTCGGTGGATTCTAATGTTGATAACGGCAGGAATAGTCCCCCCGGCTGCCTGCATGCCCGGAACTCGCGTCACTGTTGATTTTTACACATTTGATATTTATGGACCCCACTGTCTGCCCGGAGTCCAGGTCGCCGCTGTTGTGACTCCCAAGTTTCATAGATTCAAAGCGAAGCAATCTGGGTGGGCAAACCTGGTAAGTCAAGCAAGAAAATGGTTGGCCCAGGAGCGGTGTCCAGAAGGCGCAGGAGGTATAACCCTTAGGGCTCCCAGACACCCGCAGAGGGCCTGGGCAGCTCCCGCCGTGTCCAGTGGGGGGCAGTGGTGTGCAGAAAGTTACCGCAGACACCTCTTTTCCAAGGAGATGGTCCCCCAGCTGAGCTGGGGTAGCTGTTGGTGTACTCCCTTCTGTTCAGTCTCAATACCTCCTGTCTGAGAGAGGAAGACAGCGACTCCGGTTTCTATGAACTTCCAGTGCAGTTTGCTTCTTTCATTACTACTGAGCACTTCTTCCAAATCAGTTTCAGTGAGGACTGAGCTGTGCACCAGAAGCTGGAGAGCTCTGCCGAGCAGAGGAGGGTGTGGGGGTCAGGCAGCTTTACAGAGAATCAAAGCTGAAGGCAGAGCAAGCCTACACCCCTGCCTCCAGCTAAGGCCGGGCTGAGGGTCCGGTATCACAGGACAATGGAAGGTGTGACCGAATCGGGTGCCAAGAGCAGTTATCCCTGGTGTGTCTGTGGGAGCAGCACAGGGCTGATCCCGAGCGCCCAGCACTCTGGGCTCTGGGATCAGGAGCCCCGCGTCGCCCAGGGGGAGTCGGAGTGCTGACATTTCCATACTTTGGGCCGGTAATAATCCCTTTAAAGGGAGGCAGATTCCAAGCAGAACAAACACACCTCAAAAAGCAACAGGGAAAAAAGCCTCGTGTTTTCCAAGGGCGTCGAGGGAGAACGGGGCTCAGATTGAGCCCTGGGGATCAGAAAGGCCACCCTCAACGCTGCCTCCTCTGGGGGAAGCTGGGTCGGGTCAGGTCAGACGGTGGCCCAGGCCCGGCCGCTGGCTGCTGGACAGCCAGAGGACATGGGGGGGGGGGACCACAGATATTCTGGAGGCTCCTGACTTGTCAGCTCCATCTGAAACTGATTAAAATGAAATTCAAGCCCAAGTAGCTGGGAAGAAAAGGTCAGAATATTCCCCCGTCCCCACCTCAGCACACTGCTCCTGGCCTGTATCCCATCACCGCTCAGATTTCCCCTTCCCAGGGCGCTGCCCAGACACCCAAGAGAATGGGCCCATTGTGGATGAGACCAACCAAAA